ACCTTTTTTTTGTCACAAACAAAATCAATAAGAATCCATAACATTTCTTTTTTTTTTCATCTGAAAATTTTATTTAAAACACATCGAAATTCAGAGTAGGCAACACGGTAAAATACAAGGTAGAAAACCAATTCAGGGCGTAAAGACACCAACCCCAGAAAGTAAACACACATCTACAGGGAGCATAAAACAAACATAAATATAAAGGCAATCCGAGGTCAAAACCATACGAGAACCTCTAGACAAAATCAGCTGAAGTTCACAACTAAGAACACAAACATCACCTCCAAAATCCTTTACTTCGAGAGACCAAAGCCAACAGTTGACCAAAAAGACCAAGAGAAGCCGAGGCAACGAAAGTGGAACCTCCTATAGCGAATAAGCCTACTTCACATCTTTTATAGACTAAGAAATCAGACTCCGACAAGATAAGATCATGACCATAACATGTCAAGATCCTCATAGTTCCCCTGAATACGATGAAGTCAAAGTAACAACGACTTGACTAGTACACACCTCTTCTGAAATCACTTGATATAATAAAGTCTCGATCAAACCTAAATTTGTAGAGACAAGGAGCGTAACCAAAACACACCGAAACTTGCCAAACTCAAACAAGAAAGACAAGCGATCGAATCGGAGCGAGAATAAAGACCTCCTTAAAGAGCAGGAATTAAAGCAGGTGAGAAGATGACATAGCGACAAACCAAACCAATCGAATCCACACGAGAGCCTCACATCACAAGTCGAATAGCTTGAATCACCTTTTACCAAACCGAAGCACCACAACATATATCACAAACCCATAATTTACCGAAAGAGATGAAATCCACAAGGAAACTACACAATACTAGCTACACGATACACAAACTTAACCACAATCAATCTAGCCATCAACCTAAAAATGACCCACACACAAGAGAGAGTACCCACAAGGGCTGAGATCAAGAAATCCGGCAAACCATTCACGGTACAAGGAGATCAATCGGGAGGCAGAAAGGGTTCTTGTGAGTAGAAGGCCCGCATCATCCCGTTCTATGGATACACCTACACCTTCACCGCAAGCCACCACCAAAAGCCCCGACCAAATCAAATCATCACCGTAACCACACCACCGAAAATGATCTCAAACCACCGGAGAAAAAGCTCTCTCCATGGCCCAAACTTGATGCTAGACGATAGAAAACACGGAGACCAGCATTGGTGCTAATGGAGCCACCGACACCGATCCGATCTGAAATCGTCGATGGAGCTGTTTGAGAGAAAAATTTCATCTGTTGGCAGAGGAGAGAGGAAATATTTTCTGATTAGCATCTACATCTCTTAAATAAGATCAAATTGTATCTTATTTTGAAAGTTTTATTCAAACTTATCATTTCACTTCTTTTCCTTTTAAATCACAAAACAAAAAAACGTGTTATTTCAGTCAAAACTCAAAAATGAATCTATCTTGCTTTTTAGGCTAGATGAACTTGGGAAACTCCCTTGTGTCTCCATCAAGCCTTATATTTTGACACGGTGTATTGTAGACCCTACTGCCACCGGCTATTACCGGTCGACCAGGTCCACCATAAATCCGAATCAAACCTTAAAAGCATCTACATTCATAGCTCCCCAAAACCGGTATCCAGTCTTCTTCTTAAAGTCATTCTCCTTCGCGTCCTCAAAACTCGTTATTCGTTCCTTCTCTCCTAAACCAAAATCCTCACAACAACAACAAAAACAGAAAAAAAGCGATTCGAGCTCAAAAACTGAAAATTCGAAAAAAAGTTTCAATACTCATCAAATCTCTATAGCTTCTGTAAGATTTCGTTACGGTTTGCTTTTCTTTTTAAATTCCAATTTTTATGGATTTGAGTCGTCCTTCTCAAGCTAATTTTTCTTTAGGGTTTTTTTGTTCCCACGCATCATCAATGACACCGACTCCGAGAATCCCAATTGCAGACGATTCGATCAACCTACAAGTCGATCCGAGTTTCCGATCATCTCCGAATCCTTTAAATCCCGTTCCGTTACAACTTCTCGAACAAAAAGTCGAGAAAATCACCGTTGTCGAAGAGCCGAAGAAGAAAGACGGCGACGAGAAAGAAGACGAACATTTCAGGATCTTAGGACACCATATGTGTCTGAAACGACAACGAGATTGTCCACTTCTGTCGTCTCAATCAAAACATCCGAGGAAGACGATTGGTGGTGGTGGTGACACGGATCTTGAATCGAGACGTGCTGCTGTACGTGCTTGGGGTGATCAACCTCTTCATTTAGCTGATCCTGATATTCATGAGTTAATGGAGAAAGAGAAACAAAGACAAGTGAAAGGGATCGAACTTATCGCGTCTGAGAATTTCGTGTGTCGTGCTGTAATGGAAGCTTTAGGAAGTCACTTGACGAACAAATACTCTGAAGGCATGCCTGGAGCTAGATACTATACTGGGAATCAATATATAGACCAGATTGAGAATCTCTGTATCGAACGAGCTCTTACTGCGTTTGGTCTTGAATCAGACAAATGGGGTGTCAATGTTCAGCCGTATTCTTGTACTTCTGCTAATTTTGCGGTATACACCGGACTTTTGTTGCCCGGTGAACGGATTATGGGGTTGGATTCTCCCTCCGGTGGGCATATGAGTCATGGGTATTGTACTCCAGGTGGGAAGAAGATTTCTGCTGCATCGATCTTCTTTGAGAGTTTTCCTTATAAAGTGAATCCTCAAAGTGGTTATATCGATTACGATAAGCTTGAGGATAAGGCGCTTGATTACCGTCCCAAGATTCTTATATGTGGAGGGAGTTCATATCCAAGGGATTGGGATTTTGCAAGGGTTAGACTAATCGCAGATAAGTGTGGAGCTGTCTTGATGTGTGATATGGCTCATATTAGCGGTCTTGTCGCCACTAAGGTTCGAATCATCTACTACTTTTATTGATATTTTCCATGCTTTGGATTGACTGTTTTGAAACTTGAAAGTCTGAGGTGTAGAATATATAGTATTGGACAGCTTCGATTTGGTTAGACCATGTCTTGAAAGTTTGGATTTCTTGGTGCCATCTTAGTTTTTTTAACTTTTCTTCAAGGTTAGTAGAGAATGAAACTCAAGTTTTGAGTGGGACTTAATAGCTTTGTATAAGATTGTTAGCAGTTTTCTAAGCAAAGTCCTTTCTTCTCTATGGTGATTAGAACGATTCGTAGTTATTAGAATACTTTGTGGATAATAAAATATACATTCGTAGTTAATACTTTTTCTGGAACGATTCGTAGTTATTAGAGACTGATCTGATTGTTATGATTCTGGTCCAGTGTTTTTGAATTTGGTTTGGTTTTTTTGTCAATTACAGGAATGTTCAAATCCATTTGATCATTGTGACATAGTTACCTCCACTACCCACAAAGGTCTGCGTGGTCCGAGAGGAGGTATCATCTTCTACAGAAGAGGTCCAAAGATAAGAAAGCAGGGTCATCACTCTAATCATTGTGACAGTTCTACACCGCAATATGATTTAGAGGAAAAGATCAACTTTGCTGTGTTCCCATCACTACAAGGAGGTCCACACAACAACCATATCGCAGCTCTTGCCATTGCCTTGAAACAAGTGGCTACTCCAGAGTACAAAGCTTACATACAACAGATGAAGAAAAACGCCCAAGCTTTAGCATCAGCTCTGCTTCGAAGAAAATGCAGACTGGTTACAGGTGGCACAGACAACCATTTGCTGCTGTGGGATCTCACTCCTTTGGGCTTAACAGGTACGAAAATCACTTAATCTATCACTTGTCGGTCCAAGTTAAGTGTTTTATCTGATTATATACGTGTCTGTCTTTCAGGGAAAGTCTATGAGAAAGTGTGTGAGATTTGCCATATCACCTTAAACAAGACTGCTATATTTGGGGATAACGGTACTATATCTCCTGGAGGTGTAAGGATAGGTAAGCGCAGCATTTTATTTAACAATGGGTCATGTTAATATCATATCGCTCTTTGCCTGAACTTGAGGTTCTTTCTCTTTTATCGATAGGGACACCTGCGATGACAACCCGAGGCTGTATAGAGTCTGATTTCGAGACAATAGCAGATTTTCTGATAAGGGCGGCTCAGATAGCGAGTGCGTTGCAGAGAGAACATGTGAAGAGTCTATGCACTAACAAAGACATAGCTGAGCTTAGAAACCGAGTCGAAGCCTTTGCTCTGCAGTATGAGATGCCTGCTTCTCTGGTCCATGCGTGATGGGCCCATTTCTTACTTATTTGTTTTGAGTTATATCCTGTAAATTAGAGTATATATTGTATTCGCCTTGGGATTGATTTTGCATACTTTCTTCATACTAGTGATTTTGTACACTTTTTGATAGGTGGTGATAATCTACATACCTGGTTTCACTCGGTTACTTCTTTCTTCTTTAAAAACTTGAGCTTCTTAGGTATGATGTGCATTTTAGTGTTTTCACCGATTTTCCTTGTCATTTGCAACAACTGCATGGGAAAAAATTACCCACACACTTGGAGTAATATTTGAGAATTGTGAAGAATTTGTGTAAATGAGATCGTAATCTTAAAGCATGAGAACCTGTATATTCCTATGAGTATCTAAAACCCATAAGAATATGAACGAGTTATCTAGCGGGATTATGATAAGTATTTTTTTTTTTTTTAATAAATCGGGTAGCGTGGTCACAATACCGAAAATAAATAGGTCCAAATAACAACATATGGTTTTCTCATTTATTGTGAAGCATAGCATATGATGGATATGCGCTAGAGAAATTGGGCTTAATAACACTAAAAAAAATTATAATTTAAAATCTAACCATTTACCCTAATTCTAATGGATTTGATTAAGCCACATACGCTAGTTTTAGTTAGTTTGTGAATTATTTTTTTTTTGTTGGTTATTCTTGCAATTCACCATATCCACTATGCCTATTAAGTTTGAGTTTTTAATAAAAAATCTCCTCAATTATCGCAAGATCTTGAAAAATCTTCTCAACTATTTTTTTAGAAATAAAACCTCTCAACTATACTTTTTTAATGAAATCAACCCTCTGTCTACAATAACGTTTAATCTCAATAAAAATTGTTGTCTTTTGTTACAAAAACGACAAAACGTCTTAAATATTGACCAAAACATCAAGTTGTTTATAAGATGACCAAAACGTCTTAAATATTGACCAAAACAT